ATAGGAAATTTTTAAAAAACATATGTTTCACTGACGAATGCACGTTTACCTTAAATAATGAACCCAATGTTCAAAAGTATCGATACTGGAACAAAGAAAATCGACACAGGTTTGTCGAAACAAGAGCGTAATATCCACAGAAAGTAAATGTTTGGGCAGGGATATTCGGACACAATATGATCGAGCCATTATTTCTTACGCGAAATTTAAATGCAGGATATTATTTGGAACTACTCGAAAATCATATTTTACCTGCTTTACATGATGCCGCTAGGGTAAATCAGGAAGTTTGGTACCACATGGATAGCTGCCCGGCACATAGTACCCTGGCTGTTCGGGAATATTTAGACAATAGTTTTAACGGAAACGTTATTGGCCTAAGTCATACAGTAAATTGGCCAGCAAGGTCTCCTGATATTTTGCCAATTGATTTCTTTCTCTGGGACCATTTAAAAAACAGGATATACAAGGATAAAAAATACCCAAATCTAGACGAGTTAAAAAATGCTATTTCTGCCGAATGCAATAGAATTTCAGTTTACCAACTAGCGAATGTAAGAAGGGAATTTTATGATCGCCTGGGTTATTGTATAGCAGTCGATGGAGGAATATTTGAACATCTTCTTAAATCCTAAAGTTCTAACAATTTACCTAAATTACCTAAATTAATAAGTTATTGAATATTGTAATAATACTATAATTAACCTTGTAATTGATTACTTTATTTTACTTTAATTCATATTAATTTGTATTTATAAATAGATCTTTAAGATTTCCGATGTAGGAATGAGTTTTCAATAATAATAAAGCACTAAATAGGTAAATTTCTGAAATGACAACTTCATTTGACAGTTATCTTTTACCTTGACTGGTGCTCATAAGTAAATACAGGGCCATAAGAACGGAGAAATATTTAAAAAGAAATCGGCGATAACTCGTAAATGAGCTAATCAAAAATATCTAAAGTTATTCTTTTGAATGTGGGTTTTAGTGCTCTTCAATAAACCTAAATAGATTATTCTCTAAAATAATTAGGGAAGCCAATAATTGACCCCATTAAAATTTACATGGGATGTCCCGTCCGACCATGCAACACCCGGTATATAAACGTTAACATCTATTAAATAAAAAAATATCTTTTTTTAAACCCGATTTTGGAATAACACCGCCTAAAATGAAAAAATAAGAATTAATATGAAAACAAAATACCTTCATTTTACCACATCGAACATATGTATAACATTATCATATTAGGTATTTATTATGCCTAATTTGCACGTAATACTTTAATAAACTAATTTCAATTTCCATTTGAATTTTCAATTAACACAAAATACTCTCAAGAAATAAAATAATTGGATATAGTTATGATAAATACTCTCTTAATGCTTAGAAATTCCGCAGCGCTAAACTTTTAGTTAATTAATTTCATAAAGTTTCAGCATCTACTTAAGTAAATTAACTTTTCCACCTTCCGTTAACGAAGCAAGTTTTAATAGAAACCTCTAAGTACAATCGGTAGAAAAAGGTAATTGCAGAATATGAAACGTAAAACAACCCACAATTTGAACTTCGCGTGTTTTGTAAAGTTTTTACACTTGTTGCATTCGAGCCTTAAGCTTCGAAAGATAATTAACATGTAGTTCAAAAATCAGATGGTAGCTCTGGTGTAAAAATGTTAAGTTGCCACCATTGCCTGGAAACTTATATGGTGAAATTTTGATAAATAATTTAGTACACACTAAAAACACGGTATGTCGCTAGTGGTAGGAAAAATAATTTTTAGAGGTTACTAGTTTATTTGGTTGCCTATGATATGCATATACAGGGTGTTCCTAATTAATTTAAAAATAAAAAATCGTTAGAAAACGAATTAAGGCGGGCTCTTAATAAGTATATTTATTTTTTTCTCGACAACCGTTTGATGAACAAGAAAAACTCAAAAGATCATTTTTGTTGAAAAAGGATGGCCAGTCAAGAAAAAAATATATTTTCTTTAAAAAAGCAGTGGCGTACCATTTATGTTAAGCAAAAAAATCGATTTTTTTAAATTTTCAACACCCTGTAGATCAGAAAGGAAGTACTTTAGACCCAATGGTTATATAAAAATTGTTTTAAGAACACATGAGGAATCACACCATACACCATAATTTTTTTAGACTAATTCGAAAACACCCTGTATATTTTCAACTTGACAATGACTGCTGATAAATCAAAAAATACCTTTTCAGTGAAAAAAGCCTGATTTTTGCAGGAAAAATTTTGATTTTTATTGAATTTGGGCCTGCGTTTGCAAATACTCGTTTGTTAATTTTCTATCTATCTAAATTTTAAATATCATAGTCAGAAATAGTTTTATTATTTGTTTACTGTAAAAATGGTGTTTTCTTGTTGTGCTGCATCTTGCAAAGAAACTAACAAAACTGCAAAAATGTACGTGTTTCCAAAATACGATAGGTATGTATCTTAGATAAAAGAAAAATCTATGGTATGTATTCGTTGTTTGATTTTTTTTTTCGTTCGCTTTAAAATCTATAAATCTCGGTCTATTCATTAGACAGCCAGTCGACTTACGATCGTTTACATGAAACTCTGTAAAATAAATAAAAAAATAAATCGTAAAATATATATATTCTTATGTTTTTATTAAAGTTACTCTGATACTAATATATCAGTGTAACTTTAAAAATAAATCCTTTGAATTCAAATATAAACATAAAAAACATTTACAGCAGAAAAGGCGAAGGCGCTCAGTTAAATGTAGTCTTCACTAAAAACACGGAGGGGCGCTTTGACCCAAAATTTTACTATTAAGTTTCATATCTATCTTAATAGTAGGTTATTTTCTTTTATCTATGGTTGCCACATTTATTTATTTCCTGACATTGTCATTCGTTTTGACACTTTAGTTTTGTATTACGAGTCTGGTTTGGAGTCTGGCTTAAATAAATTTGTTGTGATACTTTAAGCTGAAAAATTATTACTAGCAGACCTTGCAGTCGAACAATGTTCTTTTTAGAACCTCTTTTATCGCGAAGTATGCAAGATAGCTTGAATGGGAAAACGGTAGTAATGGTACTTTATGTCCCTTAAGTGCTGTTAAGAAGGTGAGTTTTGTTGATGTAAATAATAACTGTTTATACAGGATTGTTCACCATATACAACACGGAGTATTGTAGCTAAACGATTAGATTTTTACAAATTGTATGTTTTGGGATCATGGGAGGACTATTAGAGCTACAATTTAAAAATAATTTGACAAGATACAGAGTGTCCCAAATAAGTAAAAATATTATAGTTGTATTTTTTTTAAATGGAACACCCTGTATATTATTGCATTTTTAGATTCTACGATTGAAATAATGATAAATTTGATTAAGGTTTATCACACTTAAACCTTACCGTTTTTGAAATATTTTCAATTTTGTGAAATTGCAGTAAAAAAAATAACGCTTCATTTCTACAAGGGTATCAAAGTTTTTAATACTAAATATTTACTGAAGATTATTTACTGATCAGATATTGTGTTGCAATAATAAAAATTATACTACCTTATACAGAGTGTCCAAAATTTTATATTAAATAATTACTAGATTTAAACGGCAATAACTTGTTTAATTTAAATGGAACACCCTGTATATTTTACGCGAATCAGATGCACAATTTAATAGTTTATCAAATTGGATTATACCATTTTTTACCTACCTCTTCAAGTTTGGTTATACCAATTAAATATACCACCATTATTTCCGCGCAAAAACTAGATAATTACATATTTAATTGTTTTAATTATTCTAAATAAATGTGGATTTGACTCAGAAATCAATATAATAATACGTTATAAAAATTAACGTCTTTGTTATAAATAAGCATTCGTTAAAAAATGAAATGAAATTTATAAGGTGTTACTTTTTACCACACTGTCTAATAGACATACAAAATTCAGGTTTTTAGTATTTGGAGCAATTATTATTATCAACGTAAACAGTCAATTAATGTGCATATATAGTTTGAATACTGTGAGCATATTAATTGGTCCTCTTTAACAAAGAGTTTTTATTTTTATTTTTTTAATGAAATAAGCGAACTATATCGACAATATTAGTATCTGTACTCTGAAAATTTGTTACATCTTCAAAAATAATCTAAAATGTCAGTATTCCATGAGTATAGTGATAAATGAGGTCTAAAATATAAAAAAGTGTATTTTCTACGAAAACTTGAAGAGGTAGATAAAAAATGGTATAATACAGTTTGATAGACAATTAAATTGTGCATCTGATTCTCGTAAAATATACAGGGCGTTCCATTTAAATTAAACAAGTTATTGCCGTTTAAAGCTAGTAATTATTTAGTAAAAAATTTGGACACTCTGTATAAGGTAGTATAATTTTTATTATTGTAACACAATATCTGATCAATAAATAATCTTCAATAAATATTTAGTATTAAAAACTAATACCCTTGTAGAAATGAAGCGTTAAATTTTTTACTACAATTTCACAAAACTGAAAATATTTCAAAAACGGTAAGGTTTAAGTATGATAAACCTTAATCAAATTTACCTTTATTTCAAGCGTAGAATCTAAAAATAGAATGATATACAGAGTGCTCGCTTTAAAAAATACAACTATATTTTTTACTTATTTGGGACACTCTGTATATTGTAAAATTATTTTTAAATTGTAGCCTGCCAATCAAGCTTAAGCAAAAGTTCATTTGATATGAACTATAGACTATAGATAATTACAGATTATCTATGTATCACTGCTTTGGGGTTATAGATCCAATGCAATCTTTCCGTGTCATTAAAATTATACGGAGCGATCAACAATGGTTGAAATAGTTGTCTATTCTGATTTTGCTCGTTTTATTGGCAATAAATTTAAGAAATTCGAATATTTATAGATAGTGTATTAAAAAAAGTAGATTAGAGATAATGTAGGTTAGAGTAGTATGAGTAGCCTCATATAATATTTGACATGACTACCAAGACTTACCTCATGATCTTTGTAGAACGGTTCGCGGATATTTTCAGGAACTTTGTTGTTGAACGCTTTGGAAAGTAACCACTTTATGGAGGCTCTCTGTTTGGCCTGAAATAAAAAAAAAACTATATAAAAACACTGTTTCAAATCCAAATAATATAAAGTAATTCATATTTAAGTAAAGAAAATTTATCCCCGTGGATCTCACATGTGACTTTTTAAGAAATAAATGCAAAACAAATCAAATAAATTGATATTTCTCGTTTAAAACGAACGCTAGAGAACCATTTATCTGACAAATTGTATCTAATAAAGAAGGGCTATCGATAATAGTTGTCCTATTTCGTTCCAGAATGCTCTAAATCTATATCCGAGCCCTTTTCTTGCAATATCCGTTGGATGATATATTCAGGAGTGTCAGTAACCTCGGTTGCAAAATATTTCAAAATCGACTAAAAATATCTTTACACAAAACACATAACGATTGTTTCATAATTTCCAAACTTAACTCGTTATTCACCAATATTTCGTCTGTTTGCTGCAAAAACACAATAAGTCAAAATGTCAGTAAAAATCGAGACTAGGAAAACATGTATGACTGATTTATGTGGTTTATCTGTTTAGATCATACGGAGCGAACAATAATGATTGAAATAGTTGACTATTCTGATTTTGACCGTTTGATTGACAATAAATTTAAGAAATTCCAGTATTTATCAGTTATCACTAGCGTCAAAATAAACCAAAAATTTACATAATATGATTGTTTTCCATAATAATTTGAAACTAATGAAAACAAGATGAGAAATAAATGGATTTATTTTGAAGATTTTCTATGAAAGAATATGATTTTAATTAGTAATTATTAATAGTAAAATTAGTAGTATTTTTTTACATTAAAAAACATGTCGATTTCGCAAATAAAAATGTCAAAACTTAAAACATAATTTGCACAAATTATATCAATTCATTTCTGTTTTAGCATCAGTAGCCCCAAACACTAATCTTAAAATTCCTTAACAACTACACTTCTCCAATAAATTAACGCACCACATTATTAAATCAGGTTTATATTAATATTAAAAAAAAATGGCGCCGGGAGGCACGTATAGCCGCCCATACTTGATATTTTTTTTATCTCAAAAACTGTGACTGACTGATTTTGATGTTATTACAAATTTTGTTGCAAATATATTATTCCTAATCTTAAATTGAAAACCGCGTTTCGCTAGCTACTGTAATTTTGGAGTTACGATTTTTTTAAATTTTTAACCGCCTCCCATACCCCCTTCTAAACCCCCCACCCCCACCAAAAACTAATGGCCAGATTCTCGGGTGCCACAGTATTTTTGTGCCAAATTTGGTTAAAATCGGTTTAGCGGTTTTTGAGTTATTGTGTTACAGACGGACAGACAGACAGAGGGACAGACAGACACCATGAAAATATTTTGTATTTAGGTCATTTATGACCCAAATAACTCATTTTGAGTGAAATTAAACAAACTTTTTTTGCCGATCTTAATAGCCTACCATACCTGTTGGTATGGTGGGCTAAAAATCGACATATAGGTAGTAAAGTTAATTATAGTTAAACATCTTAACCTGTGGGATGTTTTCAATAGGATTTAGGTCTGGATTATGAGCCGGCCATGCCAGGGTGTTAATTTGGACCTCGTCTAGATAATTTCTGACAACTCGTGCAACGTGCGGTCTGGCGTTATATTGCATTAACAAGAAATTATCACTGATATATGGTGCGAAAGGTACTACATTAATATCTCCTTCAAATAATGTAGTTTGTGAGAAATTGCATTGGGCATAACGTTCATTGGGTCGTCGAAAAACACGGACACGTCTATCATTATTGTACAGGCAGAATCGGGACTCATCTGTAAATAGCACACGTTCCGAATCAGCCTCTAACCAATTTACGTGTTCTCTGGCAAAACGTAGTCTTTCTCGTCGGTGATCTATGGTTAAAGCAGGACCTCAGGTTAAATCAGATTCTCTTAATCGTAATCGAAAACTGTTTCAGCACTAATTTGCAGACCATGGACCTCACGCAGTTGAATCTATGGCTATGGCATGTGACAAAACGCTGTCTCAGAACCAGAATTTTTAAAAATCTATCGTGATTTGGTGTTGTAATGCGATTTCGACCTTGTCCTGACCTACGAGAATGATTTCCTGTTTCTAGGAATCTTTGTACTACCTGTAACATGATTGTATGATTAACATCAAATCGACGACCAATTCTTCGGAAGCTCCAGCCCTCTTTCCACAACACTAGAGCTTGAGCGCTTTCTTCGCTAGCTAAATTTCGACTGGGACGTTCCATAATAATTAAAATTAATGAAGATTAGGAAAAGAAATGGAAAGTAAACGCAGTAGGTGCTCTAGAAATACTGAGAACTAATTTCTGATACCTTACTACTTGTTTGTGAATTCTTTTAAAAAAAGTTAACAAAAAATTGGCACATATTGGGCATAAACTATACAAAATATAAACTGAAGGTAAACGTACACACGTAACGATTTATCGTACTGCGCGTTGAACTGCAGATCGTAAAGAAAATCGTATTGCAGTACAGCCATTTTTTGTACACACGATGCAACACATTGTACTGCCGCAGTTCAGATTATTCACTTTTCGTCGAGAAGGGCTACCGTTATGTTAAGAATTTCAAAGAAAAAAGATGCCGTGCTTGTAGCTGCGGTATTGCTGATAGATGAAGATGATGAACAAAAAGAAATCAAAAAGCGAAAATGGTGTAAAAAGTGGTTTCTGGAGAGAAAGAAATATTCAAAAAAAATAATAAACACAACATTTCATAACTGTAATTTCTTTTCATTTTATTTGCATAATCTTTTGATTTCACATCCCATAGGCATCTATTTTCCCTAAATAAATCAATAAAGTCTTCCCAGAACGTCTTATTTGTTAAATCCATAATATTGATTAAACCAAAAATAAATAAAACTTATATCGTAACTGAATACACCCCACACGTTCAGAATGCCGTTCAAACCCCACCCCAGACACGACCCGTTGATACGATATTTTACGGAAGCTCCGTACATTCAATTTCTTTCCCTACACACGCTACGATTTATCGTTAATGAGGCAGTTTCGATGGATATCGTACTGCATGCGGTACGATAAATCGTTACGTGTGTAGGCCGTTGTAGGAATTCCTCTCAGAGAAAAAAGGTATTCCGGGTCTGTTTTAAAATAACATCTAATTATATTAGAACTTCAAAGTGGTCCGTTAATTTTTTAGAGAAGTGTATTTTGCCAACTATTACAACCGTTCGAAAATCAAAATACCGAACTTATCGTTCGGTATTTTGATTTTCAAACATTTGTTTTAATGTAGACACTCCCTGGAGAACAAATTAAAATATATATTGTTTCTGATAATTAAATATTCAACCCAGGTACCGATTATATTTGTTTATATTTATTCAAGTAATGGATGGACACAATCCCATACATACATATGCATAAATCAGAACTTCCGTACAACAGTAACTGATACGAAAGGTACAGGGCAACGATTGACTATATTTGCGTAAAATAATTTGCTTAAAATATTTAAACAGCTGCTATGTAGACACCGTGTTTATGTTAGTAAAGAGATAGGTAAAATAAATTTCTATATATCTATACACACATCAGTATCTTATAAAATATACATTAACTTAATAAAATTAATAGAAATGAATATTATGATTCAGACTATAATCACAGGTTCCCAAACTTTTTTTCTCGTAGACCACAATTTCTACCATGTTCCTAAAACTCATAAAAAAATGTGAAGATTATAGATCTCACGAGGCGAAAAATCGCTGAAAAGCTTAAAAAATGGCGCTTTTTATGGTTTCCATTTAAAAAAAAACATATGTTTGTGTCATATGTCAAAAATGACAGGCTTCAGAAAAAATCGGAGAACACAAACTCATTAGGGATGTGATTATATACAACTTTTATCTGAAAACTTTTTGTCTAAAATAGATTATAATGGAATTAGGGACAATTTTTAAAATAGCCAGAATTTGTTTTTTTCGAAATATCTAGTAAGCCATGAATTTTTTCAAAAATCTGAAAGGCGCATATTTATGATCCGACGAAACTGCAATTCTTTCCCCATTTAACCGACTCTCTATCTCCAGTAGTTTCCGAGATATACATAGAGAACATCGTAGAAAACTCACCTTGTGAATAATAAAACTTGTAAATATTAACAAAATTGTTAAATATTAACACTTAATATGTTTATAAATGATCAAAAACAATTAGTTATTGAAATTAATTGTCTATTTCAAAAACAAATAACAATATAATTGAAATCAACAGACTGATAAATACCGTACTTATTATGAATTACGGCACATATATTGGTTAATCTCGATAAATATGCTCATATATTCCATACAGTTGTTCGCTCGACCATAACATTTGACAGTTCTAAACGACACCAAAATATAATATATTTTGATAATTACATACTGATCTGTAAAACTATTATTTAACATGAAAATTAAAAATACGGGTTTTGTTTATTAATTCGTGATTTGGAGCTATGGAGCTATGGCTAAATCATTAATGTTTAATACACATCGAAAATTATAGTTTCAAGGAAAAAAATTGGCGCCGGGAGGCACGTATAGCCGCCCATTCTAAAATATGTTAATAAAAAGTTGGTAGGCAGTTCTTTTAGTTTCAAAGTAAAGGAATTTTTCCAATTTTTTATCTCAAAAACTGCGACTTTGACTGATTTTGATGTTATTACAAATTTTGCTGCAAATATTATTCCTAATCTTAAATTGAAAACCGCGTTTCGCTAACTACTGTAATTTTGGAGTAACGATTTTTTAAAATGTTTAACCCCCTCCCATACCCCCTTACCAACCCCCCACCCCCACCAAAAACTAATGGCCAAATTCTCGGGTGCCACAGTATTTTTGTGCCAAATTTGGTTAAATCGGTTTAGCGGTTTTTGAGTTTGCGTGTTACAGACAGACGGACAGACAGACACCATGAAAATACTTTGTATTTAGGTCATTTATGACCCAAACAACTCATTTTGAGTGAAATTAAAACAACT